GCGGTTCTCAACCTGTGGGTCACGACCCCTTTGGCGGTCGAACGACCCTTTCCCAGGGGTCGCCTAAGACCATCCTGCATATCAGATATTTACATTGTGATTCATAACAGTAGCAATATTACAGTTATGAAGTAGCAACGAAAATAATTTCATGGTTGGGTCACAGCATGAGGAGCTGTACTTAAAGGGCCAGAAGGTTGGGAACCACTGCCTTAGATTCTTGGGATCAAGTGCTAACTTCTTTCCTTATAAACATTGTAAACATACACAAAGTAATGGTGACCCCAGGGCCTGTGGAGTCCGTGTTTGGCCCAGGGCCAGGGAGAAGCATGGGAAAGGGCCGCGGATGGGGAGCGGAATGGGCGGCCGTGTCAGAACAGGTCAAGGGCGTTCATTCCGATGAGTATGTCAGGGTGGACCGCGTGGGGCCTGGGGGCCGGCATCGGCAGCGCTGATTTTACAGGAATATTCCGTGGGCTGGGCAGGGGCCACGCTCTGGCTGGTAGTGAGGCAGCGTCTGCTGCGGCATTTGATTCTCCGGCTTGTTTTCCAGGACATAGAATGGACTCACATCGACTACTTCAACAACGCCATCATCTGTGACCTGATAGAAAATGTGAGTATGCGGTACCATTTTCTCAACTTCCCTCCTTACGAGCGGTCTGACTGCCTTCGGGGCGAAGCTTGAGTGTTTTCATCCTTTGAGCGCTTGCTTTTCTCCGGGAACTGCAGTCTGGAGCCTCTGTTACAGCCCTCAGGGGTCGCACCTGGTTCTTGAACAACAGCCTGGACAGCGGGAGGTTGTGATACTTGGCCTGATTCCCTGGGCTTATCCCGTCCCTGTATCATGATGATCCCGTATCACGATGCGCACACATCTCACCCTTGGAGACCAGCCCCCTCCAACCCCCCCACCTCCCCGGTGCTGGAGTGCAGGCCCAGGCCCAGGCCCGGCTCCTGGGGGTGCGAACACTGGGCGGAGGGGGCCTGGAGCAGCCGTGCAGGGTTTTGCCAAAGCAAAATAGCCATTTCGTTTCTAAAACTCCAGTGACTGCTTCACATCCGGTTCAGTGGTGATTATCACAAAGATGGTTTCCAGCGAGCAGGTGGAGACAAGGGAGCCCTTGTGCTCTGTTGCTGGGAATGTAAATGGGTGCGGCTGCTATGGAAAGCATTGTGGAGCTTCCCTAAAAAATTAAAAATAGAATGGCCATCAGATCCAGCACTTTCACTTCTGGGTTAGATCCAGAGGAAGAGGAGTGGGGATCTTGGAGAGATGTCTGCCCTCCCAGGTCCATGGCAGCGTTAGCTACAGTAGCCAAGACCTGGGAGTCACCTCAGTCTTCACCTGTGGATGAGCGGTTAAAGGTGTGAGGTGAATGAATATGAGTGTCATTCAGCCATGACCAAGCAGGAAGTCCTGCCCCTTACAACAGCCGGGGTGCACCTTGAGGCCATCATGCTCAGGGAGAGAAGCCAGACAAAGACAGGTGCTAGATGGTATCACTGATATCTGGAATCTAAAAAAAGCCAGACTCGGAGACATGGGGTGCAGTGGTGGTTGCCAGGATCCAGGGAGGAAGTAGGAGTTCTAAGAGGATTAGGCTCTGGGGGGTGTAAAGTATAGCATGTTGCCTGGAGCTAACAGTACTGTGTTATGTGCTTAGAAGTTGCTAAGAGAGTCTGTGTTAAGTGTTCCCACACATAAGGAAATGGTGATTGCTTTAGTGACAGAGACGTTAGCCAACAGCTATGGCTGTATTGGTAATCGTTTGCAATATATGTGAATCAAATCAACACATTGTACACCTTAAAGTTAACGTTCTAGATGTCAGTTACATCTGCAGAAAGCTGGAAAGTGTATTTGTTAAAATTTTTTTTAAAAAGCATGGTATTCGGAGATGAAGGGACAACCTCAGGAGCTGAGGTGAGGGCCCCAGGAGTGGCTCAGGTGTAGGCCCCACATTGATTGGTTCAGAGCATGTGTTGTGGGGAGATTGTGTGTGTGGCTGTGCAGGTGGCCACAGCTGTGGGATTTCTCAGGTGACACAAACGTGTATATGTATGGGAAAGGCTTGAAGTGTGAGAAATTACTGAATACTTTTTAGTAAGCTTTCCGAATCTAAGATTTTTGTTTTCACGTCATATTATAAACTAGAGGCCCAGTGCACGAAATTCGTGCACTCGATGGGGTCCCTCAGCCCGGCCTGTGCCCTCTCACAGTCCTGGATCCCATGGGGAGTGGGCCTAAGCCATCAGTCGGACTTCCTTAGCGCTTTTGCGGAGGCAGGAGAGGCTTCCGCCACTGTCGCTACACCCGCCAGCCATGAGCCCGGCTTCTGGAGGACGATTGGGCCCCCCTGCTGGCACCTGCTTTGGCTGGTCTGGGGCCTGTGGTCTGGGGGCAGCTTCTGCATTAAGCATCTGCCCCCTGGTGGTCAGTGCACATCATAGCGACCGGTCGTTCTGTTATTTAGTCAATTTGCATATTAGGGTTTTATTATATAGGATGAATTGATTGCAGGAACGGATTTGTTCATGAAAACCTGGAAACTCTTGTTTTATGCTTAGGATGACGAACCATCTGGCCTTGACAGCAAAGTAATTAGAAACAGCGCATGACCTTTATCGTCCTGCAGCCTTCATGTCAGTCGTAGGCGAGAGCCATGCTCCAGGAATGTGGGTACAGGCTCTCCATGTCCAGCCCGGCCCTTCCTATTCACCGTGCACAGTCCTTTTAGAAAGTCTGTAATTAGCCAGTATTTTTTCTCTCTCAGTCATTCCTGAGAGATGTATCTTTGATGAAACTGAGCATTAAAAACAATATTCTAGCCCTAACCGGTTTGGCTCAGGGGATAGAGCATCGGCCTGCGGACTAAAGGGTCCTAGGTTTGATTCTGGTCAAGGGCATGTACCTTGGTTGTGGGCTCGATCCCCAGTAGGGGGTGTGCAGGAGGCACCTGGTCAATGTTTCTCTCTCATCGATGTTTCTAACTCTATCCTTTACCCTTCCTCTCTGTAAAAACCAACCTATATATATATAAAAGCCTAAGCAATCGTTTGACCGTTTGACCGGTAGCTATGACACTGACCACCAGGGGTTAGAGCACAGGCGTGGAAACATGGAACAGACTGATGAATCTCAGAGGGAAGCGGGGGAGGGGGAAGAGATTAACCAAAGATCTTATATGCATACTGGAGGCCTGGTGCATGGATTTGTTCACCGGTGGGGTCCCTCGGCCTGGCCTGCAGGGATCGGGCTCAAACCAGTTCTCCGACATCCCCCAAGAGGTCCTGGATTGTGAGAGGTCACAGGCCAGGCTGAGGGACCCCACCGGTGCACGGATTTGTAAAATATATTTTTAAAACACCAACAAAACAAAACAAACAAACCCAATATTCTAAAGCATCACTAGTTTTCAATTAAAAAATGAACTTTGTTTGCAAACATCTGAACGGTGTTGGAACATGAACACCGATATTCTTAAGCAATTCAAAACACTAGTCTGACATGCAGAAAATCAATGGATTTTTCTAAAAGATTTCCCCCTAAATTTTGTGACCAAGGTAATTTGCTGTGGGGAATTTAACTTTCGGAAGTCATGACTAACACGTTTCCCTTTGTAAATATAGCCTTGCACTGAATTATTTCTCTTTAAGAAGGAAAAACAACAGTGGGAATACGCTAAATTTAACTCTGTTTTCTCAGCCGAAATTCCCCGTGTGTGTGTGTGCGCGTGTGTGTGTGATGGAGGAAACTCCATCTGAGTTCACATAGGAGCCTAGGGCCTTAAAGGAAGCGTTTCCTTCCAGAATCACCTAACAATGACGCTTCCTCAGGGGCTGTTCCACACACTCATTCCTGCAGGCCCACACGTTCCGGGTTTGGTGTGATTGAATGCATGCTGGGCAGAGGATGTATGGCCCTGTGAGCTCCACCGGGCACTTCCCCTGTTGGAAGGCGTGGGGTCGGAGGTCAGTGGGGCCGATCGTCCTCCCGGAGTGGACACACAGGGACCCGAGAGGCGGTCGGAGGGGCAGAGCAGAAGATGCTGGTCTCTGGCCCCGTGTCCTGGGCTCCCTGCTCCTGGGGTGAAATGGTCACGGTCTGGTGCCCAGCAAACGCTCCCTCGTGTTTAACATCCGTGTGGAAGTCTTACCCGGAGCTGAGCTCCATGCAGAGCATATACCCTTCCAGCACAGCTCCATGGCTTTGGCCGTTCAGGGCAGCGTCCAGAGCCCCTCTTAGTTCATTTCCCTGGAAGGTGAACTTCGTGTGGAACACATGGGCCGTTTGGAAACATCCGATGCCAGTTTCAAACTCTGAGTCAATTGCAGGCCCCAGGAGACCGGGCTGTGTGCCCTGTAGAGACTGTGTTGCTGTCACTTGAGCTTCTGACTTTCGTATTTGTGTTGGAGGCTCCGCGGTCTCACTCGCCCGTTTCTAACCAGGTGGATTTCAGCTCTGAGTCGGCTGTGGGGGCCTCGGTGGCTCCGAAGCCCTGTCTGTGGGGGGAGCGCGGGCGGGGGGACTGGTGCAGTGTATGCCCCACCACACACACACACACATACACAGACACACACACGGACACACACAGATACAGATACACACACAGTCACACACACAGATGCACAGATGCACACACAGACACACACACAGACACACACTCACGCACATACAGACACACAGACAGATACACACACACATACACAGACACACACACAGATACACATACACAGTCACACACACACGGACGCACAGACGCACACACAGATGCACACACACACACCCGGACACTGGGCTCAGCAGGCCTCTGTGGCCGCGGTACTTGTCTGCTTCCTGCTGTCCCTGTATGTGAGCGGGTTCCTCGGCTGACGTCCTTGGGGATGAAGCTGACAGTGCGGTGAGGAGGGAAGGAACCCCCTTCTCTCTCTCTCTCTCTCTCTCTCGCTCTCTCTCTCTCTCGCTCTCTCTCTCTCTCGCTCTCTCTCTCTCTCGCTCTCTCTCTCTCTCGCTCTCTCTCTCCCAGAACACGAACGGGATCCTGGCCATGCTGGACGAGGAGTGCCTGCGGCCCGGCACCGTCACGGACGACACCTTCCTGGAGAAGCTGAACCAGGTGTGCGCCACCCACCAGCACTTCGAGAGCAGGATGAGCCGGTGCTCGCGCTTCCTCAACGACACCACCCTGCCGCACAGCTGCTTCCGCATCCAGCACTACGCCGGCAAGGTGGGCAGCGGCGGGGTAGGGACGGGTGAGGGGGGCTGGCAAGGTGGGCACCGGCAGGGCAGGGGGGCCTGGAGACTGGGACTCAGAGCTGGCATCGGCCTACCGCCCACTCGTGAGGATCAGCTGAGCTGGCAGAATGGTAGGATCACGGCAGTGGAGTCAGTGCTATTGTGCTAACTGTGTGTGGGGTCAGACGGACACCGGGCGTATCGGGGTCACTTCCTGGGTCATACGCCATGCTGGACACCTGAGGTTAACAGAAAACTGAATGCCACCTGTCACTGAACAAGGAAAAAGTGAAGAGTAGAATCAGGGAATGTTCCACAGAACCTGGACCATGTTGAGCAACATCTTGCTAATGCTCATAGCTACCAGGAAAGCCGGTGAACTTCATGAAAGAGTTCGAATGTGTTTTAAAAAATGATTTTATTATTTTCAGGCTCCAAGCTGTCCTATAAAAAAGATCTGTCAACACAAATAAAGGGGATTTGCCAGTAAAAATTAAAAGTCTTTAGACTTACAATAAGGTGTTAAAAGCACAAACCACATAGGAAAAAATATTCTTAGATTTTGAAATGACATGGGAAAATATCTACTTTGAAAAACACTTATTCATTTGCTTAATATTTGGGAGAATTAATTTTTTATGTTATAT